GTAAGTCTTGTCTGAAGCGATCGTGACAACGCGAACGGTATGGTTTGCCAGAAAAAGGGGGACACCATTATAATTCGTTACATCGACATACGCGTACAATATTTACATGTAGCAATTGTCGCGCAAGATCAGTAAAAATGCGCGGTAGAATTATGTCGCATCGTGTTTCACCGGGATAAAGTGGCTGAACTGCGTGTTTCAAGTGGTCTTCCTTTTCGCGAATAATGCTCGGTCAGAGTACTCGACTTCTGTCAGCTTTTCTTAAGGACTGCCGACTAAGCGTCGTTCGGTAAGATAAGATTGCCAATCCATAAGACCCCGAAAGATAAAATAATTTGGAAAGCGACTCGGCTATTAGCAATTAATCGCGAAGACCAGAATAGCTGGTAGAATAAACGAAATGACCAGTGAATATTAATAAAAATAAAATTTGTCAGGTTTTTATTATAAAAGTTATTGCACAGTCACCTGTATTAATTAATATTATAATTAAAATAAAATCAAAATATTATTATTAAAACAGAAATATACACATGGATGGTTAAATTCACGATGGTAATTGGCATAGATTTTAAAAAATCTTTTAGAATAATTTATGTATGAAAATTAAAGATAGATAATTTCTTTTGTATATACAAAATAATGAAAGAAAACTGCAGCAAATTTAAATTCAAATGCAAATGAATGACTGGATAGAAAATTGAAAATATAATATCAGTCTTGTTGCAGAACGCCTTTTGGTTCGCCAAAATTCATCTGTAGGCATTCCGATTATAATTATTGAAATTTTTTTTTTTATTAAATCGCGTGCGTAACACTTGCGACACATTTCAGCTACTTAACGTAGCTCGCTCACTTTAACTGATTTGCACGTTGACGCTGAAAGCCGCGGTCTCACGCACTCTTTCACACGCCTGTCTGTACACACGTCTCTCGTTTAAAAGTGTGCACAGTCAGCTCGCGTTAGTTTACGGCTAAAAGAATTACACTTATATTATATAAAAAAAAACAAAAAAAGCAAAGAGACTACGCGAGAGGATGCCTCTTCTATTTCGTTCAGCTGCTCCTCTACGCTTTTCTCTTTCTTTTTTCTTACGCTCTTATTCTCGGCTTCTAAGCGTGCTTATCCCCGAGTCTGCGTATGCATCGTGTACATCGTGTAGGATAATGAGAGAAAGAGAGAAAGAGAGAGACGGTCAATGTGTGTAGTGTCAATTTATTAACTCGTTATACCGGCGTCTTTGGCAGTTTCCTGCGCGTCGGCGATGAAGGCGCTTTCTCCGTATCGGTTTCTGCAAAAATATATCAAAATATATCGTATCAGTGACGCACGTTACTTCCGTGACAGTTTTTTCCAACGACTATGATGACATCCCTGTGCTGTCGGCTTCACATAGGAATAAAAAAATAACTCAGAATTACACAATTGTTTGTGAACTTTCAAGTTCCATAAATTTTAAGCTTGCCATCGTGGACTAAATTTTTTTTTTTTGTAAAAACTGAGCGATCAAATTCTTGTTCGCGAGTTCAAAATCTTTAACTAAATAGTTTGCAATTCTAAATCATTTTTTATTTTCATATAACAAGGCCAATTTCATAGGGATTGTGATGACGAGTTATAATGATAATAATTATTGAAAATCATTTCTTTTCTTTGTGTAAAAAGAATACGTATTCGTTTATTTTTAAAAATAAATCGTATATTTTGTAAATTTTTATTTAGAAAAATAAAAATATAATGCTGTCGCGTAAAAATATAGCGAGCAAGTGGTTTAACAAATATTCAGGAATACGAAAATACTTGTTCGTCTTGCGAGTATTTTCGAGGTCAGAACGAAACCATGTCAGCGGTCAGAGGCCATTCTCGACCTCATGTCCTAGAATACCACGGAACTTTTTTATCCGCTGTATAAAAAGCCACTACTCGTATTACTTCGGAGACATTTATTTCCAGAGCAACATATACAGGCAAACCTACTACCTCTAAGTGTTTCCCTTTCTCTATGACAATCCGCTTTTCAAAATAACCAACTCTTCGCCACTGATCTCAAATTAATTAAATGCAGTTCATTTTATATTTTATCACAACAGCCGTTATCATATTACACATCAGTGGACGGTAATATTTTATTCGATATTGGTTGTAAAATTCTTTTCATATAGAACTCGTATTTGGGGCATGAAAATCGATAAGCGATAGCCGATTTGTGGAAACTATGTAATAAAACTATGTAATAAAATTTTATATACATTAATTTTTATATCGATCTTCAATAAAAAAAAATAGTTTCTTACCAATAGTTTCTTACCAAGGATTATTTTCAGGTTTTTATAAAATTGTACGTTTTTATATCAATGACACATATATCGGATATATTCCTATAAGTCTCTAAATTTTTATATAAGCTAGGAGAAATTACTAAGAGAGATATTTTAACAATCATTAATGCTATTAACAAGTTTTGTCTTGTACTCACCCATCAGCAGGCCCAAATTTGTAGGTGTTTTTCCGGATTGCGGATCGTCCAGCAAATCTCCGGTGCTGTTTTATGATGATGCCATATCGCACAGTCGCCGAAAAATACGAGGCGAATATAGAGGATAGCCTTTATTTACAATTATCTAATATTACTGCATGTATAGACTTACATATCGGTCGTGTGTTCTACCATCAATTCTGCCACATCGTCGGTCCGTTCGATTATTTGCTGTACCTCCTCGAAGCTCCGATCGACCAGAGATACGCCAGACCATTCTAGCACCTATAAATAGACATTTCGTATATATAATATATATATATATATATATATAATATATATTATTTGATGACATAAAATGTTAACGAAAAATATAAGACAAATGTTTATTGTTTTGTAACGTTAACATTTGTGCCCGGAATTACATAATAATAATTGAATCTAATTATTTTTCTTTTACATAAATTTAATTATTACACATTATACCTTTTAGTATATATCATTTTGTAAATATTGCTTATCTCTTATATTTTGAAAAACTATTCTTTAATAATCGAAGTATATTTTCTTTTATTTATGAATTAAACAACACAAATGCGTGCAACGCCCGCGCTATATATTTTTTTTAAACAGAAGGAGCAGAAATTAATATAATACTATTACACTATTCATTTTTTAACATACTCAAGACACACAACTGTTATAACGATTTTCGCGATGACAGCCGTTCATCAAATTAGCGCAGCGAAAAGATCAATCAGCATCGCGGAAAAGAGGCAAATTTCGAGAGATGTGAGTAGAACCTTTACCTGCCTATTTAAAAATGAATAATTAATAAATAGAAATTTTGATTAAGTACTTGATGGTTATGAATAATTATTATATTCTTTATTATAAATTTCGGAAAACATAAGCTAAGGATTTGAAATATGTATTGCATATGTATTGTATATCAATTCTAATATTTTAATTAATTGTTATATATTTCTATTATTGCCCATGCCTATTTCTAAATGGATCGTACGCTCACGAAACGAGCTATAAAAAAACGCGAAATATGGTAAAGTCATAAATCAAACGCAACTTTGCCAAATAATATAATGTCTTATCACACGAAAGAAGAGAACGGCTCAGGAATTCCCGGTGGTTCGAAATCGTCGGTCTTGATGGTGAAATTAATGTTGAGACGCATCTTGGTAAGGTAACGGGACTGAATTGCAATTGGTCATAAAGCACCGGATCCCCCTGGCTCTTTAAGTACTTTAATTACTTTAATTACTTGAGCGGATTGCTGTGAGGGGAACGAAGATGGCGGCGAGATCGCCGCGAGGGATGACGGTAAGCTGTACAAACTTTCGCCGTGTTAATCCTTAAGGCCACTTGGCCGAGAAGACATTAAGATTAAGGGCCCGTCTGTTCTAACCCGACGGATGCCGTTTGTCACTAAGTAAGGTGGAGAACCGTGAAAATTGAAATACAACTATTATACATGACTCGGCCCTGTAACTCGGGGACGCGTGTTTGCTGTCAGGCGCAATTAACAAACTTACATAGTAAATTAGGCTCTCTCGATTTCGAGACTGATTTTCACATCTTGCGGATTTGGTCCGCAAATATATATAATGATATATCCTTTCTGTACTCGCTTGTCTTATTTCTCATTCCGCGATGTGAGTGTAGTTACATCTCAATTTATTTTACACCGGGCGAGATAATACTAATACTAATTAGCGAGAATCGAATTAAACATCTGATTAGGGTACTGTAATTATTTCGGCCCGACGTATAAAATTCAAGGCGAGGGGGGGGGGAGTGAAATTCGCGTTCTCTCGCGTTTTCTCACGAAACGTTAATAGCCTTTTCAGCATATCGTGTATCGTGAATATATATGTCGGCGGCAATTCAAACGTCGCATCGCGAAACTTATGCTTACTGCACGCTTGTTTCAATTACATACCGCGTACTACATGTGAAATTGGAAAATCTATCCGTCGCCTTCTTCTGCCGTATATATAATATAATAATGCCTAGGGTTCTTTGAGAAACGTTATACCACGCGCGTTAATTAACGGCGCTCGACGGCTTTCAATTAAACCGCGGAGTGGAATCGAATGCAAATCGCCATACATCGGAGAAGAAAGAAGCACGCGCGATCGATACGCCACGGCTATTTTTCTCCCGCTCGAGTGGAAAAGCGTAAGAGCAAAAAAAAAATGGAATTCCAGTCGTTCGAAGATCGATTTATCGCTTTAAAATGAACTAAAACTAGGTTGTGTTTTTGGATATCTACTGTTTTATAAATTAACGAATTGTGATTGATATTTTAAAGAATTTTTTTGACGCTTTTCAGATAAGGGATATCAGATGCGCATCACACGACGAAATAGTCGATTATTCACGTCACCTTTCCATATAAATATACTACATCGGATACGAGGTGTCCCATGTACAATTCTGTATGCCTGTCGTAAGAGCATCCCCATGTATTCTCATGACAAGAATATTTGCCTCGGTATAACAAGTCGGCATACAATTTTCCTTCACGGAAAATGGAACATTTATCGTTGTCGTCGTTGCGATATATACAGGACAAATCATATTCGAAAATACTCATGACTTGGAAATGAATTTCATTCGCGTGTACCGACACATTTTCGCAAAAGCTGCCGGGAAGAACTTAAAATGAAAGAATTTTGGGAAGAAACGTATAATTTTGATTTCTACGATATTTAATGAAACACAAATATTATGAAATATTATGAAACACAAAAAGCTCTACAGTAATTAGACATTAGATTTGTATATTAGATATGTATATGTGTGCGTGAGTTAAACTTCTCCTTTTTAGACCAAGAAATACTTGCGATGAGAAACTTTGCATCGAAATGGAAATATTTATCCAAGGAGTAAGGTGAAAAGGTGTTTTCAACTTTCCAGATATCGTCGAGTAGCTTTTGTGTGCGAATGTTTCTGCCTTTGCATATTTCCGGTATGCGATAAAGTGAGATTTATAGGAGAGAGGAAGAGAATGACAGAAGGAAAGAGAGATTTCCAATAGTAGTAGTTCCATGGTATAATAATGCAGAATTTTTCATTTGATCAATTTTTTTATGTTTTATAAAAGAGGATTTTTCTTGCTCTTTACTTCGAAAGAATTTCAAAGTACTTTTCCGTGTATATACGCTTTGTTTGTATTTCAACGAAGAAGTCTTCTACCTCTTTAACATATTTTTCATTTACCGAACTCCATAACTTCTTCCCACTTTTATTCTTAAAATATCTTTGAATTTATAACTATGTATGATTAATACTATTTCACTGGCCACGTAAATTCTTTGAGTGAGCTAAAATCTCTTCGAATTTTTTAATTTTTCAATCCTCCCAGCTAAATTACTTTCCCTCGGTTTTCTTTTTTTTTTTTTTTTTTTCTTTAGAATTATTCTCCGCGTTTTGATAATCAAACTACGCTTCAATTCGCAATCACGCTGTGATCTTACGCACACGCATTCCGCATTATTACACACGCGTACAATTTTCTATCTCGGTGCTTCAGAACGAGCTTTTCAGCGTTCACGTCACATTGTGTATCCACGTGGACCTTTTTTCTCTCGCTGCCTCGAACCCTTAATAAAAGGGAAAATTGTAGATGCGGTAACTGGATACAGGAAATGACGCGTATGAAAGCGATCAATCGCCGGTTCGCCATTTCCGTGATCCTCGTTCATTGTGTGATATATTGCATCGATCAGCCGGAAAAAAATCCAATATACCTTCGTAAGCGGAGGGGGGGGAGGGGGGGATACGGCTGGAGGAATATTCATAGGGAACAGTCGGCGGCGACAC